AAGACATGATTATTTAACCTGAAAACAGATTTCAAAACATTTATATTCTATTTTACATAAGATCGAACTCTCCTCAATACTTTCAGCCTTTTAAAACTATGTAATTCCAATCTACAAATCATTCTGAGTTTTCAAGTCTTTCTATCATTTATATAGTATATAAAATTGTCTCTTTGAGGCAAAATCTTAGACTTTTAAGTAGAAATTTTAAAATTCAACAAATATTATTTATTGAGCTCCTCTACCAGAAATTAGGTCAAGTTAGGAAAACGAATAAAAACACATAGTTCCTATCCCCAGTGAGTTTAAAAAATCCACAACATTTAATCTTTTCACAGGTTTTCACACACTTACTGTATCACAGCAGAAGGATAAAGGCTTTAGAAGTAAACAGCAAAATTGAGTCCCAGCTTTATTAAGGGGTAAAGGTAAGTTATTTATCCCCTCTATGCACTGACTTCTTCCTCTGTAAAATGAAGAAAACATCATCTCTGTTGAAGAGTTTTAAGTACAGGGGCACCTGGATGGCTCAGTTGGTTAAGCATCCAACTTGATTTCAGCTCAGGTCATGATCTCAGGGTTGTGAGATCGAGTCCTATGGCAGGCTCCGTGCTGGACCTGGAGCCTGCTTAAAATTCTCTCTCTCCCTCTGCCCCTCCCTGCTTGCTCTCTCTCTCTCTCTCAAAAAAAAAAAAAAAAAAGAGTTGTAAGTACAATTAAAGTGTCTAGTAGAATGTTTGACCTAGATAGGATCTATTATATCCATTTTTCAGTTCTAACCAATCAGGGCAAAAACTCAGGCCATTTATACTAATAACAATCATTCTATCTTTCAGAAAATGGTATCAGAACCAGATTACATGCAGATGGGCATGTAAGAAGTATAAAAATTCAATGTGATGCTATACACTTCATATCATCTTATAAATATCCAACATGTTTCTAATTAAGAAAAAAGGCAAAATTCATTTTGAAGAAACAACATTATATAAGTCATATGCACAACATAATCAAGAGCCTCCCAAATCAGTATGCTGCTTCTTCTTAAGCATACATGGCCTAGTAAGTGTTTAGGACTTCCACAGGATCAACTTATATCAATCAAAAATCTCTTTCTTAAGGCTCGAGTCCCTAAACTTTAACCCCAGAGGCTCAGCAGCTGCCATAAAGGGAAGTTTGAAAAACTGAGACTCCCCTTTTCTGACAAAGAACAGCATCCATGAAAGCTTTTAGGGCAACAGTGGCTGATTTGTGAAATTACCTAAGAAAAGACCACACCATCTTTTGAACCAAGTATAACCCTCCTACTGAACCACCTGTAATAAAAATATTTCAATACTCTGAAGGAGTTAACATGCCTCCCAAAGTGCCAAATTAGAATTAGAATTTGGGGTAAGAAGGGACCTTAAGTCCCTGTTATCGATGGATAACTATTCCCACAGCAATTTAGCTAAGAGGAAACTGAAGCCAAGAGAGTGAGGGAGGGGTTTCCCCAAGATACATGGCTATCCGGTGGCACAGACAGGAGACAGAATTCAAGATACCTGACTTCCAACCCAGTGTTCTGCTCACAAGAGCAAGCTTCTACTTCTATTATAATAAAGGAATGATTTATGTATATCTGGCTAAGATAATAGAAGACAGCTCTGAAAATATGTTTCAGTTATTACTTAGTGGACTCAATAAATAAATTTTTAGCCAATATGAAGAAAATCATGAGGACATTACTTTAAAAACTAAACATTATCAGCTTTTCTGAATTTGAGGGACATTAAAAATTACTGTGACTGTTTCTAAGTCAATTTTTCTTCTTTTTTTTAAAGAGAGAAAGAGAGAGAGAGAAAGGGAGGGACTGAGGGATAGTGCGTACACACGTGGGGGTAGGGGCAGAGGGAGAGGGGATCTCCATGGGGCTCAATCTCACAACCCATGAGATCATGGCCTGAGCAGAAACCAAGACTTGGTCACTTAACCGACAACGCCACCCAAGGACCTTAAGTCACTTTTTCTTAAAAAAAGAGTATAATAATATAAAGCAAACAAGCACATTAACATACTTAGAGTTGAGAGAATTGATGATTTACCTTCTACCAGATGCAGGAATCCTTTCTAGGACATTCTTTTTCTAGAACTTTTTTTAAAATTTCGTGTTCAGCTTTCCAAATATTTAAAGCTAGTGATCAGTCTAGCCGTTCCTTTTTCTCTTTCTTGATAAATATATGTAGGATATTAAAAAGTACTTGGACATAGCTCATACAAATCATATTCAGCTCTGTTCAGTTCAACAAAGGTTTATCAAGCCCTAGGTATTGTGCTAGGTTCTGGGAGTACAAAAAGAAATGAGACCTAGTCCTTGCCCTGGAAGAGCTTACAAGAGAGTAGGGGAGAAAAGCATATACAGAAATAGCTTCAGTCTAATAAAAAGTGCTAAATTAGATCATGTACAATAATAGATACAAGATTAGAGAACAAGGAAGGGATCTGAGTAAAGGATACCAAGAATACAACAGTGGGCATTTTGGCAGGGTCACACATTTGGATCCAAATTCCTGGATTGAAAATACTATATTTTTTCATATATATATATAT